ATAGGCAGTGTTAATTCTATATAGAAGACATAAAAATGTATTTCAAATTGATGATGTTCATATGTAGAAAGACACTTGATGTTATATCTAGATATTAATTATCAATAAAGATTCGCATCGATGTACGTTCACCTTAAAAAAAAAAAAAATAATAATAATATTATATTATTTTTATATATTTTTATATTATTATTTATCTTCTTTTAACATTATTTTATTATTATTTTATTGAAAATATTATTTATAGAAAAGAATAATATCATAATTCAAGAAAGTGAATGTTAAAGATTATATAATCATATAATTGACTTATGAAAATTGTAAAAATCTTTTAAATTTTTATAAATTTTATATAACAAATAAACTTTGAAACAAATATTTAAAGATTTTACTAGTTAAATAGTTAAATAGTTAAAGTTATTCTATTAAACTATCTCTTAATATATTAAGTAGGCAAATTTGCTTACAAAATTAAAATTTTCAGCAATAACTGAAAAGTGAGATAGGAGGGATCCTTCAAAATGGTACCAATTCGATTTTGCTAAACTTTAGTAAGCATCAATTATCAAATATATAATCATTAGGCTTGTATAATATATAATTATATATCAATAAAAGATCAATGATCATTTTGATCAAAAATTTGCCCAGTTAAAAACAATACATATTTATATTCTGCTATATTAAAAAATAATAAAAACTTACTTACTAAGTTGTCAGATTCTTATTTTGTCACATTTTCTTAACAACAAATAGTTACAGATCTTGAGAAGAATAGGCTTTTAGAAGATAGTGATAGTGATATAGTTTATAATGAAGAGTATATTGAAGACTTGGATAATATTGTCAACAAGTTAGAACAACTACAAGTAAATGAAAAAAAAAGTAGAAGAAGGAAAAATAGAGTGAGAGAAGATAGGGCAAGGGGAATAGAGCAAGAAAAGATAGAACAGAAGGAAATGGAGCAAGAGGATATTGAAATAGAGGTGAAAAAAATAATACAGCTTTGAACAAAACTGAAATCTTAACACAATTACTCATATCTCCTGATTTTGTTTCATTAGAATATAACTTATCATATCACTAAAGCCATATCAAATTGCTATTAGTCTTTCTTGATTATAATATTACTCCATATGAATTGATTAGATTTTTTTTTTCACAAACCATTTTTAATACAATTGTAATGAATACAAATTCACCACAAAATCAAATTTGATGTATTTAATGTAATGTTACTCTTTATTATAATAAATCTTGTTCTTCATGTTTTAAAGAATATTATATATAAGACCAGTAGGTCAATAGCACAGTGGATAGTACTCCATAATCTCCAAATGTATGTCCCTAGTTCAATACCCACAGAAAGCAAAACGCATAAATTTATCCTTTATTTGTGAGTTTACCGGATTGCCACAAATATCATACCCAGACATCCAGATCTTGACCAAATTCAGTTAGGCTGCATGAAGATAGGACCTCTGATCTTTCTGACGATCACAGGCTGAAAACAATCAAAGCAAGAAAGGTTGCATGAGGAAAGGCTTCTGGTCTAACTCCGATAAAAGCCCACAACCCCCCTGGCATGGCAGACTTCATAGTATAAACCTTCCTATTCGGGTTGGCTGGTTTCCTGAATAAGTCATACCCAATTAGCTAGTACCCAAGACTGGATTGGCAGACTTTGAAACTCGATTGGATCTTCACTATCCTGCTTGATATTGGTGCAATCCAGATTGGTGATCCAATTTTTGGGAAAGAGTCAGATCATAAAAATCAAAAAGGAAACTGCTAAAAAGGTTTTTCAACTATTGGATAGGATTTTCCTTATCCTATATTTACAAGTAGGGAGACATAGCATAAACCTAAGTATGAATCCATCCCCGAGGTGTTAGTTGATATTTGGGTAAAAATAGGCAGGTAGCGTCAGTTTAATTAGACTATTCATATAATAACCATGTAACCTGCATATGATTAATAAAAGTCTCGCGTGTATCACACTTAGTCCTAAAAAAAAAAAAAAGAATATTATATATATACTAAATAATAAATATATACTTATAATTTAAAAAACAAATTTAATAATTAAATTAATAATTGTTATTATATATATATATAAATATTTCATAAATAAATTTATTATGATTTATTTATATTTTTTAAATAATTTTAAATTTACTAAATTTATTGAAACTTAAAGTAAAAAAACTATTAAAAATATAAATGATTCCATATAATTAAAATTTTTCAAAAACTAAAAATTATATTTTTTTATTTTATTTTTTTAAATTAACTAATTTTAAAATAATATAATTTATTTAAAATACAATTAATTTTTATTATTTATAAATTAAAAAAATATATTTTATTAATATATTAAAATAAAATTATATAATAATAATATTATAAAAAATTCAATTAATTTTTTGTAGGCAAATTAGTCTGGAAAGAATTAACATATTAAGGGATAGATAAAATCATATAGAAACATAGTTACTTATAGTCACTAAGGCTCTTTACATAGTAGATTCATTAGTAATTTAGGAATTTTTATTCTGAAATGAAAAATAAATTTGTAAAAAAATATTTTAAAAATGTATAAGCAAAGGATAATCATATAACTTCAAACTGTATATAAGAATAATTATTCATTCTTCTGAACAAAAAGACATTACTTTGATTTCTTTTATCTTTATAATTATTTTATTTGACCTTTATTTTCTTCCTAATTTCTTTAATAAAATTATCTTTAAACATTAATATTAATTTAATAATTCTTTGTTAATAAATTTACTTATTTTTATAAATTAATTGGAATAAATATTTTGACAGGCTTATATATTATTATCATATAAGAAGAACAATTTTTGTAATACTAATTGCTATTGAGTTGTTAAGCAGCAATATATTATAATTGGCATGGTGAAAATTGTTCACTTTACTATTAAGTATTTAAAGTTGATTCAACAATATTCTAATTATTTATAAAAGATTAAAGGATTTATTTAATAAAGAATTTTTAAAAAGTCCTAATTACTTGGACATAAAGTCTTATACTATAAGGATTTTATATTGAATCTTATATTTTTTTTTAAACTCTTCTTATTTTTAAATATTATTATTCTTGATATTTAAAATTTATAATATAATAATATTATTTGAAACATAATATATATTAAATAAATTAATTTATTAAAAATTGAAAATTATTTTTATTAGTGATTTTAAAATCTATTAAATAAAGAATTGAAAGTTTAAAAAAAAAAACTCTTTTTTACTTTTTTTTTATATTGAAAATTTTTTTTTTAAAGTTTTGAATTGTTTACTTTTTCACTTTTTTTTACTCTTTTTCTTTATATTTCTCTTTTCTATATTCTTTTCTTTTTTAAAAATATTACTTATTATTTTATTATTTCTCTAGCTAATTAATTTTTTTTTCTTAGAAACTATATTAAAAAGTAACAATTTTCTTTAAAAAATAAGCTTTGATAAGTTTTTCTTTTTTATAGTTTCTTTCAGAAAAAGAATAAATATTTTATCTTTTTTAAAAAATTAATATGATTATTATTATCAAATTCAAAATTGTTTATTAATTAATAAACATACTTTATATATTAAATACTGTGATCAAAATTCATTTGATCCATATTCGAGTAATAGTTTTTAGAAGGAATTAGAGATTATATAGAACAGTCTGTCATTCTAGAGATAATTTCTCACAAATATTCCAAGGTATGACAAAAATTCCCCAATGAATCTTTGTAATCAAAATGTGTTTAATAAAATAGCAGTGTTTTATTAAAACACAAAAACCAAAAAGTCAAACGATTACAAGAGTAAGTTATCAAGAACTGACTGAAAATTACATGGACAGCAGTTACTTATATAGTGTTTTCTATTCTAGACTATCTGAGCTGCCTGATCTATATGTCACGATGTCATAATTTTATAGATCATAGGCCTTGTAGGTCTTTTGAGCCTTTCGGGTTATTTGAACCTTCTAGGTTGTCTGATCTACATTACATGTGCTATTAATAGATATTTATATTATAATAAAATAATAAATCCTACAATTAAAAATAAACCAATAATAATTGAATAAAAAATAAGTAAAAATAAAACTAAGTTATCTATTTTATCACATATTTCCTTTTTTTAAAAGACAAAGATCTCTGAGCCTAAACCTTTTACAAAAGTCGGGAAATTATTTCTATAATCTCCATTGATTATTCCAGCAATATAATGTATAGACAAGTACTGTGTTTGATAAATTTGCTTCATATTATTTTGAAAAATCTCATAGGTTTATATGGTGAATCGATAATATCTCTTATAGTTGGATAATGGATATTTTTAAATATATTCTCTCCAAGTTTGTTATACATTCCTCATGACTTCTAGTAATTCTTTCAAATAATACAAGTGGGCTAATATGGCAATTCAATGAGATTGTCACATATATCAGATAATTTCCAAGATCGTTGTCCTAATATATTTGTTGATTGGTGCAATTGGATTATATGGCATAATAAATCTTTCAGGGTTTTATCCAAAATGGAAAGCACATCCATTTTGAGTAAGTTCATTTTTTCTAAGATTGATTGTTGACATGTAAGTTTAGGCATTTCTCATGGTAGGAATTTTCTCAGGATTGGGAATATTTATATAAGTTTTTGAGATTGTACTAAACAAAATCACTGGTTACTCCTATATTTAAAAGCTTGACTTTTCTTTTATTATTTTTTATTTCCCATTTCTCTGATTATAATTATATCTTGTATTAACAGACTTGCTTATGCTATTGAATATCCTGATGTTATTATTGATTGTATTATGACTCTTCAAGAAAAAATCAAGTTCCTTGATTATACCATTATTGGATATGAATATCCAATGTATTAAAAAGAATTGGTTGAGTTGCGAAACCAATTATCTTGCTTGTGGTCTCATTATCAAGAGCAAAGAAATCAATTACAACATCTTTAAGTTTATAGTCAAAAATCTATTAGTTACTATTGATCTTGTATTAACTTGCTCCTTGAGGTAAATGCTAGTCGGATAATAGTAAGGATTCATCAAAAAGATACTTTGTACTTGGAAATTTTGGCATTTCGTGAATATATCGGTGAGTTTCAATCAGCATTATTCTGGTATCAGCATCCTATTCCTGGTTGTCATCCTTTTTCTTGGCAGGTCGATGTCACCTTTCGTTCTTTTGTTTGGAATCCTAATCCTTCTTGGATAAAGAATTATCCTTATAAAGATTCTAGTCCTAATCCTATTAATATTGAATATTCTGCTTACTTTCCAAATCTGTATATAGTTCATAAACCTTCAGAACCATTTTTCTAATAAATTTGTTATTGTGTCTATTGCTTACATTGTTCCTTATCACTGTGTTACTCTATGGGTCAGTAATAAGATGACAATAAGGTATTGCTCAGTGGGCTCTTATTGTCATATAACTTGAATCTTCTCTTTTTCCTTTTCAATAGATAATTCTTCAAGAATAATCAAATATTATGTGCCCCATACTCACGCACAATTATCATAACCATCCATCTCTATTTTTATGTTCTCAAGAACAATAATGTTCTATAACTATATATATATATATTGATTAACTAATAATAACTAATAATTATACTATATTTTAATTTGTGATTCTCAAATTGGTCTCTCAAAATATCATATAAATCAGTTGATATTCACATTCCTCTTCAAGATTTTTCCATCCATAGTCCTTAATTTGTAAGCTCCAGTAGAATTTATTTCATGTATATAGTATGGTCCAGTTCATTTTTCTCTAAATTTGTTTTCATGTATCTTTGCTTTTGCTGATTCATATAATAAAACTTTGTCTTCAATATTGAATTTTTCCATTTTGATACCTTGATAATAATATCATTTTTGTTTTTTCTATGCTTTTCCAATATTTTGTTATGCATTTATTCATATATTTTGAAGATCATCAGTGATAAAATCA